AAGCCAGGCCCACTGTGGTGTTCTTGAGCCTCTCTTTCTCTCTTTTTTAATTATTAAAGCAAATTTTATTTATTACCAAGGAGATTTGAGGTGGTTTGCAATAAAAATAGAGATAAGAGAACATGGAAATCCTTGAAAAGAAGAATACAAATATAAACACCAAGCAATAAACTAGAAAGTCAAGTAGAGGGAAAATCAGGCCATTTGTATGAAATAAATGACATCAGGCAGCATCCTGGAGAAAGCCTACAGGTGGGAGTGCGGGTCTCACTTCCCACGGGAATCTCCAGTTCCCTGTGTCATTTCTATTCCTTATATGTCTCTAGGTTTAATCATTTTTGAACATTTGAGTTTCTAGTTGGTGAAAAGAAGTAATAGTGAACTAGAGGTCTGAAGCCATCAGAGGTTCTAGTCCCACTAATATGAATACACAGTGAAACTATGCAGGTCATTGAGTTGAGGCCTTATTTGAGTCTCATTTTTTATATTAAATTAAAGGTAAGGACAAGATCATTGATTGAACTTTTTTCTTTTTGAGACAGCATCTCACAATGTTGCCCAGGCTGGAGTGTAGTGGCACCATCATTCCTCATTGCAGCCGCAAACTCCTGTCCTCAAGTGATCCTCCTGCCTTAGCCTCCTAAAAGGCTGGGACTACAGGTGCACACCACCATGCCTGGCCATATATATATATATATCTTTTTAAATTTTTGTAGAGACAGGGTCTCGCTGTGTTGCCCAGGCTGATCTTGAACTCCTGGCCTCACATGATCCTTTTACCTTGACCTCCCAAAGTGCTGAAATTACAGGAATAAGCCATTGTGCCCAGCCAAAATCACTGATTTTTAATATTTGAAAGAAAACATCAGAAAACTTTATGGTGGAAAAATCTGACCTGCACCTCCTACCTGTGGTCAAGGTTAATCTCACCAGTGATGAATTAATGTGGATATGATACACCTCTTGTATGATGCAGGGCACTTGATCTCTGTGGAATTATCCCCTCCAGTCATAATTCCAGTCTATGTATTAGACAATATCAGTTATATCCAAATTGAAGGACATTCTACAAAATACCCAGCCAGTACTCCTTGTATTTGCCAACATGGAAGTCGTTCATAGCCTAACAGATTGTTCCTGTAGAAGGATGAGTATGAGCCTGATAGGAGCTGGCCCAAAGAATATAAGTAGTGGAATGGAGACACCAGGCATGGGGACACTTGGCGGGAACTTGGCCTTTGGTGAAGGCAGGGTTGTTTTTGGAGGGACACTTGGTGAAGGCTGGGTTATGTTTGGAGGGGCACATAGTGAAGGCTGGGTTCTTTCTGGAGGGACACATGGTGAAGGCTGGGTTGTTTTTGGAGGGGCACATGGTGAAGGCTGGGTTATTTCTGGAGGGGCACATGGTGAAAGCTGGGTTGTTTTTGGAGGGGCACTTGGTGAAGGCTGGGTTGTTTTAGGAGGGACACATGGTGAAGGCTGGGTTGTTTATGGAAGGACACATGGTGAAGGCTGGACTCTCTTTGGAGGGGCACATAGTGAAGGCTGGGTTCTTTCTGGAGGGGCACATAGTGAAGGCTGGGTTATTTCTGAAGGGGGCACATGGTGAAGCTTGGGTTCTTTCTGGTGGGGGCCATGGTGAAGGCTGGGTTTTTTTGGAGGGGCACATGGTGAATGCTGGGTTATTTCTGAGGAGCACATGGTTAAGGCTGGGTTCTTTCTGGAGAGGGATATGGTGAAGTCTGGGTTTTTTTGGAGGTGCACATGGTGAAGGCTGGGTTATTTCTGAAGGGGGCACAAGGTGAAGGCTTGATTGTTTTTGGAGGGGCACATGGTGAAGGCTGGGTTATTTCTGAAGGGGGCACATAGTGAAGGCTGGGTTGTTTTTGGACGGCACATGGTGAAGGCTGGGTTATTTCTGAAGGGGGCACATGGTGAAGGCTGGGTTGTTTTTTTGGGGTCATGGCTATTACAGCATGTTTGTTCTCATCTAAAGGGGAACAAAATGAAGATGCAGGATCAAGAGAGACGACAACTGCCAGGTGGGCCTTCCTCAGTTGGCCAGTGGTGTGGAGTCCGTGTGCAGTGGGAGGGTTGGTTCTGTGCAGGAACAGGACAGCCCCTCTGAAGGACAGAGTATGTGGACACAGATCCCGGGAGGTGAGGAAGTGTGGGGTAGGGCCTGTGGACATCTTTTCTGAGTGCTCTTATTTTCATACACAGGCAGGACTGTGAACTGTGAGTGTGGATGGGGGGAGGTGGAGCTCTGAAGGAAAAGGAAGCATGACATAGTTACGTGGACGAATGAGCTTCTGAAAGAAGTGGAGAGACGATCCAGGTTATGTCGTGGCACTAAGGAGCCTTTGAAGTTAGTGATTGTGAATGGAAGGTGTGAGTCCAGGGCAGACAGTGGCTCCCGCGTTGATAAAGAAGTATGTGGACAATTAGGGGTGAAATGGCGGCAGGGCTGGTGGAACAGAGGTGCTGATGAGGTAGGAGAATTGGAGTGGAGGCATTAGAGGGAGAGGGCTGTAAAGACAAGAGGGTGGAACTGAGGTGGGTCAGAATTCCCGGTAATCACAGGGTCTAGGGTGTGGTCTGTGGTAAGGAGCAGGATTGTGAGATGTGATGAAGCCGAGGCACTGAGAAACCACGATTGGAAGGTTTGTATTGAGTAGCTGTTATGGTCCCCAAGGATTATGGCAGAGAGAGAGAGAGAGAGAGAGAGAGAGAGAGAGAGAGAGAGAGAGACACACACACACACACACACACACACACACACAGAGAGAGACAGAGAGAGAGAGAGAGAGTGAGAGAGAGAAACCAAGGGCGAACATGAGCTAGGAGTAAGGGGTGTGGCCTGGAGCTCAGTAGACGACTACTCAAAAGAAGGGATGGATGGTAGAGTCTGATGTCAGGAACTTCCAAGAGGCTGAAGGGTTTTAGGGAGGAGGAGCAGGTAAGGATCTGGAGACAGTAGTGCGTACAAGCAGGGGTGGCTGGTGGTTCAAGCGTGTGGAAGAGAAAGGCATCATTTGAGAGGGTACTGTGAGGCTGTGTCCTCAGGAGAGTCAGACTCTGAAGTATGTCTTAAAAGTCTGAAAAACACATATGCCATTTGAACCAGCCATCCCCGTCTAGATGTTTGCCCCAAGGCTACAAAATTAGAGCTAAGTTCTTATTCCCTATTGCTAGACTTATTTAGGTTATAACTTATATCACATGGTGGGTTTATGATTTATATTTATTTCCAGTTTTTGGCTTTGCTCTGTTTCTCAGATTTTCTATAATGAGCATGTTTGAATACGGAAAATAAAAATATTTTTATATTTTAAGAATAAAAAGTCTATAGTGGTTGCAGGAGAGATCATTAGGTTAACCCGTTATTCTAGGGCACAGAGGGACAGGAAAGCCTTCAAGCCACCATCAGAGATTTTGTGAATTAAAACCACTTTTTGATGTAAATTGTAACCCCCATAAGGACTTGGTAAGGTCTTTGCTGATTTATTTAAAAACGTTCTAGCCCACAGAGAAATCAGTTGCCTAGGTAATAGTTACCAAATATAGAAATTAAATGCTATCTAACTCCGGGTTTCTAACTTTTCATGAACTAATTATACCTTCAACCGAAACATTGGATTTATTTTCACAAATTTGAGTCTGACATCTTAATTCATAACTAGCAGCTGCTGGGGCTTCTGGCAGCCACAAAAATAAGTGAAAATAAAAACTAGGTTTTAAGCCGAGTATTGACTACAGTACTTACATAATGTTCAAATCACATAATACTTTAAAATGTACAATTGAGGAAATTCCTTGTGGACAAAGGCAGTGGTTTTTCCGACCTCATCCTGCTGTTATGGTAAGTCTGATTCCTTGTGGCCTCTGACCTCACACGATTGTAATCAAAACCAGCCTTCTCTTGAAACTCTTCATTCTTGTTCGCTTTTCCCTCTGCTCCAATTTTCAGATTTCCCCAGCTGCTTCTGTTGGCAGTTTAATCTCTCCAACCAGCTCTTCTGATGGCTTCTGGAATTCCTCCTTCCCGGCTGTCAGCTCCCGCATCTGCTCTCACACGTCTTTTTAATCTCACTCGCCAAGATGCCAGGGATTCAGAACAGCCTCCGTCTAGTTATTTAGCTACTGAGTTCAGTGGAACTGAAGTGCTTATTAGCAAAGAGATTTCTGTGTTAATTATGCTGACAGAAGCTTTGACACACAGATACACTTATGGGCACATATCTAGACTAGAACAAATATTTTCCTGCTAAGTTGCTGAATTGACAGCGATGCCCACAGACTTCACAATACCTGAGATCGAAGCAGAATTGTTGGAGAAGATGTTCAATGGGGAAATCTGTGGAAAGTTTTATTGCATTTATTGATACGATACTTGTGTGCATTTGTGTGTTTTTATCTTGTGAGTGTTGGTGCAAACATACATTTGTACTTTGGTATTTTTTAGTTTAGAGTGAGTATTCTTTTATTGCTATTTACTATGAGGTTTGACAAAGCAGCTACTATATAAGCCGAGCTGGTTTACATTTGCTGGTTGCTCACAGAGAATGCCCAGCACCTGCATTTTACTGGTCACCTGGAAAGACCCTGTCACTTCCTAAATCCCATAGAGGAAATGCCTCCACATGTGGCTGGCTGCCTGCTGTGAAATCCTATGAGGAAGAAGGGAAAGAAAACTTAATTCAAGTAAAATATGCTCTTTGTGGGGATGTTGAGGGGAAGAAAAATAAGATCAAGATTCTGCCAGTGCCCTGTAATCTCAGAAGTTACAGTTTGCATAATGTTTGGCATGACTTTCTGCAGAATAAAAGCATAATTATATTTTTTACTGAAATTGTCCCTAAACATTCTCTAAGCTAGTCAGAATGGGTACATTCCAGTAATTCTTTTATCTGTAGATCTTATATTAGAGTACAATGGTTTCACACTTCTTGGTCAGCTTACTAATGTCTGGATTTTTGTTGTTGTTTGCTTGTTTCCAGTATCTCTCAAGAACCTCAGCAAGAGTGAAAAAGTGGTTCCATTTTCTGGTAAGAGACCCTATGACCAGTGCTCACTCACAGACCCTTCCATGTGAGGCAGGACATGGCGCAGGTGGCCACTCTGCGAGTTTCGCAGTGAAAGTGTCTGCAGTGAGGCCCCAATGACTCACTGCCCCATGGGGGGTGGTGTCACCAAGCTTCCCACTGACGGGGCAGCCATCCCCTGTGCTCATGTGGCCTTTGAATAAACCACGCTCTCATGACTATGCGTGGAGCCCTCTAAGCCATCTTGCATATGGCAAGCTTCAGGTCAGCTGACAAATGAAGATTTTGGCGTACCGTACGGTGGCACGATCTGTCAGTCAACAATACAGTTTTGGCAGATTTTCCATCGTTCAATTACTTTAATCTTTCACTGCATTTACTTTTATAATATTTTGTACCGAAAAGCTCCTGAAACTTGTGATAAGAAGTATAAGTTTTAGACAACAGGCTTTAGACACACATGAGTGTCCTTAGGGGACACATTTTCAGCCACTCAGGTGTCTGTTGGGTTGTAGGCTGAGTTCTGAAAGAACACCAACAGAGCACACAGATGCAATGCCAGGAACGTCTCCTTGATGATTGGATTTAAGGGCAGGGTGAACGCTAAAGTTTTTGAAAATGCATTTACTCTGTAGTAACATAGCACAAACATTATTTTATGTTAATATTTTATATCATTTATGTTATATAATATATTAATATTCATATACACACATTTTAATATCTTAAATCTATTTTTAATTCTGCATATTCTAATCTTATGTGTTTTGGGGAATGCTTTATGTGTGGGACTAGCAGACTGCTGGTTCATTCGTTATGTATTTTTTATTCTTTTATTTATCAAACGTCTTTTTGAGTTTCTTTCATGTGCCAGGCTGAGCTGGGCACTTCAGAAACAAAGATGAGTAAATGCAATCCCTGTGCTCTATTGCTGGCAGTCTAGTGGGGAAGACAGACTTGACACAGAGAATCATGCCCAGGTGCAAGAGAGCGCTAAGTTAGTGTGTGGCGTGAACAGCCGGCCAGTCTCCCTGTGGGTTAGCAGAGGGTTGCTTTGCCCTCAGAGCACTCAGCCCCTGCCTTTTGCTTGGCACACAGTCACACATCACAACGTGTGGCAGTCTTTGTATTTTCTTCAATAACAACCCCCCTTTTTATGTTTAAGCTTTTAAGTGATAATGAGTATCATATCATGTATGTATCAGTTTTTTCCATTCACAGTGTGCTTTCATTGTCATATCATCTTAATCCTACAGTTCCTGAAGATCCGTGTTTGTATCTCTATTTGCAAAGAAAGAATTAACTGAAACCCAGTTTCAGTTAAAGGAAGGTGACTGGTTCAAGATTAGTCTGAAAGTAGACAGAGGGACCAGGACTTATGTGCCATTAATCATTTTAAAAACAAACAGAAAATATGCAACTGCTGACCCTGGGCCAAGTGCTATCCAGAATATAGAGGGAATCCATTGGAATGAGACTCAGTTTTGTTTTTCTCAAGAAGCTTATGTGTATTGGGGTTGGGGCACGGATCTATAGATAAGAAAGTCGAGTAAGAGAGAGAAGTGTTAAAATAGAGGTGCGTACTGGATACCCTGGAAATATACTACAGAGAGAACAATTGACTGTCTGGGCCTGGGAGGGAGGCTGCAGGGATTTATAGAATGTGTTACAAAGGAGAGGACTGCAAAAACGAATTGGGAAGGGCTGGTAGGAGGAGTTTGCCAACTTGACAGAGTGAGGAAAGGAATGGTGGGCAGAGGAGTCAGCATAGCCGAGTGCATGGAAGAGTGAGGGTGCATTTGGGGAGTGCGGTGAGTTTGGTGCAGGTGGAGCAAAAAGTGAATGTGCCTCAGGAAGGAATAGTATGTGAAGAGGATGGAGATACAAACAAGGTTCAGTTCTTAAGGTCCATCAGTGAGAAAAGGCAAGGCTAATTTGTAGTAAAAAAAAATCCCCAATCTCAGTGGCTTTCCACAATAAATCCTTATTTCTTGATCATAACAGCCTACTGTGAATTGGAGTCTTTCCTGGGTGGCTCTCCTCCACATGGTGACTCAGGGATCCTTGATGTTGTGATGCTGCTGTCCTCAACACATGGTCTCTGAGTTTGCTACAGGAGGAGAAAGGGAAGACATAAGGAAGCCACATTAGATGCCCAGCCATCTCAGCCCAGAAGGGACACACCACCTTTCATGTCCCTTTGGTCTGAACTAGTCGCCTGGCTCCATGTTGCCCTGCGCCCTCTGGTAACACAGTCAGGGCAGCTCTACATCAACATAAGGATTCTGGTCTTTATCTTGTAGGAAATGCTAAAGCAGGGAGATGATGTGACCACATTTATGTTTCTAAGAAGTGCTGTGATAGCAGTGAGAGACGGGAAAGGGGAATGAGAGGATTATGTGCATGCCCTGTATTCTCTATCAGGTATGAAGGGACTAGACAGGAAGTGACAGATTCCTGGGAGTAGACAAAATTGACCACACCTGGCCGCACAGTGGATATGGGCGGCGAGAGTGAAATTGGAGTGGAGGTTTCTAGTTTGAGTCTGGGCGTTCCTTCTGAAAACAAGGGGATGATCAGGTTTTGGGGAAGGGAGTATGTGAGCGTGCTGAGTTCTCCACGTCAGCTGAGCTACCCGGCCCCTCTCAGGTTCTGCAAGGCTTCTCACTGAAGACATCTTTTCAAGTGTTATTTCAAAGGGTGTTTTCAGTTTTCAGGAGCATCTTTTTAATTTCCTCTGCCAAATGGCATTCGTCCCATAGGAAAGTTAGTGTTAGCTTCGGGAAATGTAGTTTGGCTGGTGAAAGGTTGATTGCATGGGTATTCTTCCTGAGCTCCAAAGGCTGGTTCTCATGTGTTGGGGTCTACGCTGAAGAACATGGCCTCTAGATTCTCCTGCACTCTGATTTCTTTCTTTTTCATTTTACTGAAAATGCCTTTTTCTGTTTTACTGACTCATAGAAAAAACAACAGTCTTCCCTGCGACTTCTCAATTTTTAAATGACTAATGGATTGTGTCTGTGTAATTAACATTTGCTAACACAACTTTGATTCTGGCTTCTCTGATGGTATTGCATCCTATTTTGTGCTTGTTGGAGATAATGCATGCAAAGACACATTGCACGTGTAATATCCTATGTGAAAAATATTTTTTGTTAGTATTACCACTGTCACTACAAAGTCAGTAATACAGCAGCAGTATTTGTTTTTTTGATTTATTTCAGTTGGTTTAGATGGCTACTATGTTTATTGGTGATTTTGTTGTTTTATTTTGTTCACTGAAAACAAGAAAAGGAACCATATGACATTCTAGAGGAAAAAAATGCAGCTGTACTACCAGAAACCCCAGTAGAAATAGAAGCCCATAACGAACCACCAATGGGACAATCACAAGAAAAATCATCACCAAGACAAGAAGAACAAACACCTGAGGAACAAGAGTCCCCCGAGCAGCCATACCTGGAACAGCCATACCGAGAGCAGACACCTCAGACTCCAGAGTCCCCCACTCAGCCATGCCTGGGACAGTCACACCAAGATCAGACATCTGAGAGGTCGGATTCCTCCACACAGCCGTCCTTGGGACAGTCATCCCAAGTGCAGACACCTGAGATGCCAGAGTCCCCCACGCAGCCATCATTGGGACAGTCATCCCGAGAGCAGACACCTGAGACTCTGGAGTCCCCCATACAGCTGTTCTCAGGACAGTCATCCTGAGTTTAGACACCTGAAAGGCCAGAGTTCCCCATGCAGCCATCCTTGGGACAGTTATGCTGAGAGCAGACACCTGGGAGGCCAGAGTTGCCCACTCAGCCATGCCTGGCATGGCCGTGTCAGAAATACACAACTCAGGGGGGTAACAAATAAAACAACAAATCCCATGAGAACAAAATGCCAACCATGTCATGAAGAAAACAAACTAGGAAGGATCACAAGACAAATGAAAATAAAAGTAGTCATTTTTTCACATTATGCTAAAGAGGTATACTGGTGGAATATTAAAATTGTGAATTTCATATTTTGGTGGCAAGACTTAAAGTTTTAAAAAACATGTTGTAAGCCTAAATTCATCTGGAATTCCTTCCTCTAGTCCCTAACTGTGCAAGTCTGGGAGGGAAGAGGGTGGTGGGTGAGACTGGGTGAACTATTGCCTATTGGGGTGGACCTTCTCTTTTTACGTTGTCAGCCCATACCTGGCATTCCAGAGTGACTTGGCCACCTCCTTATGAAAGGCACATGTCACATAATTATCTGTAATTTATTCTTCCTTTTAAAAAGGGAATTAAGGCATATTATAGTAACTATGCATGTCTATTTTTATCTATACACAAAACACATATATATGTACATATCTTTGCCAATATAGGTATATATATATGTATATGCCTTGTATGTCCTAAATGGACTGTAGAAACCTATGTACATTTATGGTGGCTAAAAGAATGGATTCTCAAGTCAGTATGCAGATTGGGCTTCTCCCCTCATTGGGGTCTGTGTCTCAGTTTAGAGCTAATAATAATAGCTAACTCATAGGCTGTTGGGATAATTGCTTATCATAAGCAGAAAGGTCCTGGACACACAAAAGGCACTAAGATATGTCGGCTACTCCAGTTACTTCATGTGGGTGGGTGTCTTTTGTTTCTGTTACCAAGCGAGAGAAGTCAGACTCCATCTCTCCAAAAAAGAGACGACAGGCAGAGTCCCTGCTAAGATGAGGCCTGTCCTTGACTTCAGGTTAGCTGAGCTTCCTGCCGGCCAGCTCAAAGATGGCAATGGGGATTCTAGGATGGTCCAAGTCCTCTTGAAGATCAGACCAGTCTCACACCATCTGCCAATTAGTGGTATAGAGAGTGTTGCACATGGAAGGAGAAAGAAAAACTATTATTCACCATATTTCCATTTCTGTATTTGTTGTTAGACTTCACTGGAGCATTTGTTACACTTTAAGGGTGAAATTTGTGATCAAATAGAAACCAATGCCATCTCATCTTGAGTGTTTTTTAATTAATAAGTTTCTGCTAGAGAGCACACATCTACTTTGACTTGACTCCATGGTAAGTATATAGTATATATTTTAGTGCTGGAAAAGAGCTTTGAAACACTCATTTGTCATTGCTTTTGTGGGTGAATTCTCTTCCAGCTGCCCTAGTGCCTGTGGTTTAGACCAGCAAGCTGCTGTGGAAGGAATGGGTTAGGGCTAGAGAGCCAGGCCCTGGCCTATGCTCCACCATTTGTTGACCACAGGGTCTTGAACAATTTACTTTTCCACCCTGAATGTTAGCTGTCTTCTGTCAAATGAGAACAATAGGATCATAGATTGTTAGAGCTGGAAACAAATTTAGAGATCAGAGAATTTCCAACAGACGTTGTACTGTGAAGTACCCATAGGGACTATGTGGCTCGCCTGAAGTCACATGAGACCTGTAGCTTGGAGGGAGTGAGGATGGGACTGGAACTCATGCTTTTCTTTCCTCCCTCCCTCCCTCCCTCACTCCCTTCCTCCTCCTCTTCTGCTTCTTCCTCCTCCTCCTCCTTCTTTGTCCTCTTCTTCCTTCTTCTCGGCTCCCTCCTTCCCTCCCCTGCTCCCTTCCTCCTCCTCCTCATCCTTTTTCTTGTGACTGGGTCTTGCTCTATTGCTCAGGCTGGAGTGCAGTGGCACAATGGCAGGCCCAAGCATACTCCCACCCCAGCCTCCCGTGTAGCTGAGACTACAGGCATGAGCTATCATGTCTGACCACTTTTCTTTTTTTGGAGAGATGGAGTCTTACTATGTTGCCCAGGCTTATTCTTTTTTAAAATTTGATTTCGGGTGTATTATAGTACTCTATCTTCCTTAGTATAGAATTGTATGAATCAAGTGGAATTAAACTCTGAACATTTTGCTAGAGGTAAAAGATAGTCATTTTACTTAATGGATACATAATAAAAAATTTTTTAAATGTTGCCTCTAGATGATGTTCACATTTTGGGGCTTAGTTTTAGAGTCGTCTTGGTACTAGGAAGATGGCTTAAATAGCTCTTCAGAAGAGTTATTCAGCATCATAATTGAACCAAACAACACAGATTCAAACAGTGCTGTAGACTCAGCACACTCAACCTGGTTGGTCAGGATGGGGGCTGTGGGGTGAGAAGCAGGAGAAGATGAAGGAAGGGGCAGAGGAATAGCAAGGGGTGTTTAGATGAACTGAAGTGGTGCGGCCACCAGCACTGCACAAAATCTGATTTTGAAATCAGTGTTCCAGGTTGTTTCCTGCGGCCGTTCTGCGTGTTCCATGTTGCCGTTGTGTGTGCTGTGAGGAGCTGTGCGTGCTGCAGGCTCCAGGGCCCGCCCCACCCTTCCCAGGAACAACACCCAGAGTCCAGACGCTAATAGAAATGCCAGCTCCTGGGAGAACCAGAAGCAAACTGTGGCCAGATCACAGCTTAGAGATGGTTTCTTGTTAACCTGCTTTTCTATGTCTTTCAGATGGCCCGGGAGTGGAAACCTGTAGATTAACAAAACCACCTTTATTATCTACCTGAAGTCCACTTTTCTTCAACTATGGGGCTTCCATCTCACATATGGACATTTTAACAGCAAGACAATCACATCTGGGGCGAAACTAAAGCCCCACACAGTGGTGCCTTCTCAAAAGCTAAGGATGAGGTTTCCCAGTTGAGCCCCATATTCTTCTTACTCCCTTTTTCAGTGATATTTCTTTTTAGTAAACATTTTAAAGAATGAAACATGGTTGTTTATCATTAAGCCCCATAAAGATCATCCTGAAAGTGAGAGGAATTTGAAAAACGCTGTGTGTATTTTTCTCTCATGATTTTTTCCCCCTGGAATGTGTATGGGAAGGTATCTTGTTTGTATGTAACTTGGAGGTTGTCACAAAAACAGGTACTGATAACTTTGCTATGTGAAGTTTGAAGTATAAAAGTATTTTACTTCTGAATGACTAGTTCAACGTGAAAAGGAAAAAAAATCCAGGGTTACCTGGTGACATGGTTTGGCTATATGTCCCCACCCAAATCTCACATCGACTTGCTGTTTGAACAGGACAGAATGAGATATTGATACTGATGCAGGCACAGTCATAGGTTAGGTGGTGGTAATCTCTCTGGTTGCTTTCACATTTTCAAATGAAGCATACAGTCATGTCAGCAATTGAGAGTGAAGAGAGGTTGTAAGAAATTTTAAGAGAGCAAAAATATGCAATAAAAGGTTAAACTTACAACAAAAATGGACAATGATGAATGCCAATTTAAAGGTTATATCTTGAAATTTTGTTACTGTAAAGTGATCCTGATCCAGACCCCAAGAGAGGGTTCTTTGATCTTGCACAAGAAAGAATTCAGGGCAAGTCCACAGTGCAAAGTGAAAGCAAATTTATTAAGAAAATAAAGGAATAAAAGAATGGTTACTTTATAGGCAGAGCAGCCCCCAAAGGCTGCTGATTGCCCATTTTTATGGTTATTTTTTGATTATATGTATTGACAAGGAATGGATTATTCATGCCTCCCATTTTTCAACTGTATAGGGTAAGTTCTTGATATTGCCATGGCATTTGTAAACTATCATGGTGCTGGTGGGGGTGTAGCAGTGAGGCCGATCAGAGGTCACTCTCGCTGCCATCTTGGTTTTGGTGGGTTTTGGCCAGTTCTTTACTGTAGCCTGTTTTATCAGCAAGGTCTTTATGACCTGTGTCTTGTGCCAACCTCTGATCTCATCTTGTGATTTAGAATGCCTGACCATCTGGGAATGTAGCCCAGAAGGTCTCAGCCTCATTTTACCCAGTCCCTACTCAAGATAGAGTTGCTCTTGTTCAAACACCCCTGACAATTTGAAAAGAAAAAATGGAAAAGAAAATAAGGATGATAAATTCAAGTTGGCAGGGACTCAATAGTAAGTACTGTTGGACATCATCTTTTCTTTTTTTTAATTATACTTTAATTTCTGGGATACATGTTCAGAATGTGCAGGTTTGTTGCATAGGTATACATGTGTCATCATGGTTTGTTATACCCATCAACCCATCATCTGCATTAGGTATTTCTCCTGATGTTATCCCTCCCCTAGACCCGCCACCCCTTGACATGCCCTAGTGTGTGACATTCCCCTCCCTGTGTCTATGTGTTCTCATTGTTCAACTCCCACTTATGAGTGAGAACATGCGGTGTTTGGTTTTCTGTTGTGGTGTTAGTTTGCTGAGAGTGATGGTTTCCAGCTTCATCCATGTCCCTGCAAAGGACACAAACATCCTTTATTATGGCTGAATAGTATTCCATGTTGTATACGTGCCACATTTTCTTTATCCAGTCTATCATTGATAGGCATTTGGGTTGGTTCCAAGTCTTTGGTATTGTGAATAGTGCTGCAATAAACGTACGTATGCATGTGTCTTTATAGTAGAATGATTTGTAATTCTTTGGGTATATACTCAGTAATGGGATTACTTGGTCAACTGGTATTTCTGGTTCTAGATCCTTGAATCGCTACACTGCCTTCCACAATGGTTGAACTAATTTACATTCCCACTAACAGTGTAAAAGCACTCTTATTTCTTCATATCCTCTCCAGCATCTGTTGTTTCCTGACTTTTTAATGATTACCATTCTAACTGGCATGAGATGGTGTCTCATTGTGGTCTTGATTTGCATTTCTCTAATGACCAGTGATGATGTTGTTTAAGTTCCTTGTAGATTCTGGATATTAGACGTTTGTCAGATGGATA